AATTCGTTAAACGTAGTACGAATTTTTAATTACTAAATTCGGTATAGTAAGGGTTTTTTTATATTTAAAAATCTGTCCGACAATGAAAATCCGTTGTATTGTAAAATTCGTTATATCAAAATTCGTTGTAGAAAGAGTTGACTGTATATTTATTAATAAATTAGTAAAATTAAATAAATATATTAATTATTATTAAATATATACTTTTTACTATATTAGAATAACTTAATTTCAATCTGCTTGAGGATTTTTTAAATACATTTTTACTTCATTTTTTAATAAATTTTCTTTTACTAAAAATTTTTATTTAAAAATTTATTATTATCATTATTATCATTAATTTCTATATTAATATTATTTGATATATAATTAGTATTATAAACATTAAAACTGTTTTTTTTGTATAACAAATAAAATTTTATTTTTACCTATTATTTTTATAGGAATCCAACTTAAACTGTAAATTAAATACTATAAAATTATCTATATTATCATTCAGTTTATAAAAAAAATTTTACTATTTTTTATTTTTTATTAATAGTAATTATATATATAATAGTTTTATCTGATTTTTTATAATATAACTTAAGTTTCTCTAATTTTATTTTAACACAATTATTATATCATTAGAACTATTTAAATTTTCATAATATGCTTCAATTTCATTTATTAAATAATTATATATTAGTATAGAAAAAAAAGCATAGAATATTTTGCAGTTAAAAGTATTTTAATAATTTATACAAATATTTATAATATAAAATAAAAAATTTTTTAATTAATTATGAAAATTAAATTTATCAATAAAATTTGGTTTTACTTGTCAATTTCTTTACTTTTAAAATAGAAATAATCTCTTTTATTTTATTTCTTTCATTATTAATAATTTTATAATTTCTAAGCTTTTATTTAAAATTATTATTACATTTATTATTTATAATATAAAAAAATAATATTATATTAATAGATAAAAAAAGTAAATGTATTTATTATAATAGATTCTCTAATTTCTTATATCATAAATGCAAAATTAAGTATATTATAAAGTTTTAGCACATTTTAATATTTAAGATAAGGTTAAGATCTTTAAAAATAGTAGCTTTAATATAATATATAAACCTTTCTTAGTATTATGATGATGATTTTATTTTATTATAAGCTTACAAAACTAATAATTATAATATAAAATTAATATTATAATAATTTAAAATTTAAAGAAATATGAAAAATCAATCTACCTTGAGAATTATTTTTCTAACATTTATAGTTAAATCTATATTAACTATAATATTATTTTTAATTTGTATTTTACTAACATTAACTTACTTTAAAATTTTTTGTATAATTAAATTTAGAAAAATGTATTTATAACATTCTGTTATATGACTTATTTGTAACACCCTTTTTTATTGTTTTTAATAATAAATTATTTTATTAAATATTTTATAAACAAGATTATTAAATGTAAAATTTAATTTAGAAAACTTTTACTTAATATATTAAAGATAGTTTCATAGATAAAATTTTCAGTTACAAATAGTTTTTTGAAATTTTTTAAAAAAATTTTTATTTTCATGACACAACTGATCTTTTGTTTTGATTTGCTAAATTATTGACATTACACCTGATCTTAAATTTTGATTAGATAAAATTTTGGATGTTATAAATAAGACATGTAACAGAATGTTATAATTAGATTTATCTAAATTTATTATATAAGTGAGATATAAGCAATAAGAATTAATAGTATTAAAGAAAATATTTTTTTTTGACAAATATTTTCTAAATATTTCATACAGGTAATATTATTTAAAGTATTATCACTAGTAACTGCAAAAATCTGTTAAAATTATAATGATTTATTAGTTTTATTTCAAGTTTATATAAATATAAAAAACAATTTATTTACCTTTTCTAAAAATTCTAAATTCATAACAAATTTTTATAAAAATTATAGAAGTTTTTTTCAGATTAAATCTGATACATTTAATAAATTAAAAAATAATTTTTTAAAAATATTTCATATATATATTTAAAATTACCTGAAACAATTCACTCATTTTTTTTTTGTTTTACTTTAAAACTTTTTAATATATTATTTTTTATGTATCTGCTAATGAGACCAGTATATTGAAATAGTTAATCATTATCAATCACCCATTTAATGACAAACTTACAAAATTCTTTTTGTGTAAACTTAAAAAAAAATTAATTATTTTTAATATTCATCTTTCCATTTTATGTATTATTTATTAACATATTTTAAATGGGAATGTTGTATAGTTTATAAATTCATATAATGTATTTTGGGCTTTAACTATTAAATTCTTTGCTTTTTTGGATTTTATCTGGATGATTAGGTTCTAAATAATGCTAAAGATTTATTGTGTTGAAATCACCAATCTTGTGAAGCTATATTTTATCCCTAAAATTTTAAGAGATTAGATTTACTATATATTGAATTTTTTATAAAAGCATCCCTGAAATAAATAGTAAAAACTAAAGGCGAAGGGGAGTGACACTGGTGACAAATACAAATATATTTGTCACTGATACGGGTAGAAATTTTTCTTTTATTAAAGGGCATCCTGGGGTATAGGCTTTTAAACTGTACCCATGTATAAATAAACATTTTAAAAGTAAATATCACGTGATAAAAACAGTTACGGAACAGGATAAATTTACCCTTATTTAAATATTTAAGAAATTTTTTTTTTCTAAAAGAAATAAAAATACTTACGGGTAAAAATACTTACGGGCAGTTTTTAAGCTCTTAACCACTCGATGAGTTTTTGCATTGTGGAAGTTCTTTTTTCTTCAAAAGTTCTCTAGTAAAAAGTTCACTTCTTAGAGAAGGTCGCTTTCCAAGAGTATTTTCTCAGCCTCACTCATTTTTATACACAAATCACAAATAAAGTTATTTAGAAATTAAAAATCACGTAACCTAAACATTTTAATTCTAAGATCATCAAAATATTTGACCCGACGGGTCGGGGTTGAATATAGGACTCGTGTCAAAATATTGATAAACACGAGTCGGGTCAAATGACCCGGCCCTTTCGGAACACTAGGTCAGAATATGTACAAATTTAGGTTTTCCCCTATTGCAAAGGTCCCACAATTATCTATCACCAAATCCTTAACCTAGATGCTTGTTTCAAAACAATTCTCGGTATTGATAGTTAATCCGGCATGAAAATTGTGGGATAACAGTTTCATTTCATGTTTTGTCTTCGATATCATTTTTATTAAAAAAAAAAAAAAAAGGAAGCGGAAGTAGAAATTTTCGCGAATAAATATAATGTTTTAAAAAATTCTTGCAATATTTTAAAGAAAAAACATTTACAGTATCTGGAATAATTTTTTTTTTTTATTTCTTCAAAATAGAGCGATACAGCTTAAACTTAAAAATAATCACTATTTAAGATTCTATAATAAGCCTCAAACAAATAATAACATATTCTAGAAACTTCATAAAATTCTTTTCAAAAGTTTTATCCAAAAAATTAAAAAAAAAATTATAAACAAGAAAGAAATAACATCCCTTCTAAGAAAAAATTTACAGTAAATGGAGAAGGAAAAAAAAATATGAAAGAACTAAAAATAATAATTTGTATATAAAAAAATGTATGAACGAATTGATCAACCATGTGCTACTCAAACAAGTTATAATTAATTTTTTTAATTAATTTGTAATTCTCGGAAAAATTTCTAAATATCACAAAGGATTCTTTATGATGGTAAACCTTATGCTCCTTTTTGGTTCAATCAAATATATGATCAAAGGCTTAACAAAGAAATTTGGGGATAATCAATCGGAATGATTTAAATTTCTTATATAAACGCATAAATATGGAGGAAACAAAAAAAAAAAATTTATCTCGTTATCCTCTTAATTAATCAGCCACATCTCCCTAAAAAAAATAAATAAATAAACCTTCAATCATGGAAAGTAATATACGATCTAACTGTACTTTTCGGGATAGGAAGTTTAAAGAATTGGAATATCCTTTACCAAACGATATAAATGAAACGATTAGATTGAAAATGCAATATTATGTTATAAATTACACTTGGGAAGGAAAAAATTATCTTTCTCCTATAGACAAACAATTCAAAACAGGTGGTTTAAAGGTTCTTGATGTAGGTTGTGGATCAGGAGAATGGCTCCTTAACATGAGCAACGAACATCCAAACTGCACATTTGTCGGGATCGACATTTCATCGATAATGTTAAATCAAGAATCACGTCCTACAAACTTGGGATTCATTCAATGTGATGCTCTTTATGGAATTCCCTTTCCTCCAAATACCTTTGATTTCATTTACTCAGCAAACATGTTTACAGAACGGAAAGAGGCCGATTGGTCATTTATAATTGAAGATATGGTACGATGTGTTAAACAAGGTGGTTGGATAGAAGTGAGTAATCAAATCTAGTAAAATTTATTTGTTTTAAAAAGGAATCATTTCATTTAAAGAATTGCTTTATTGTACAGTTAATGGAAGGAGCCTACGAATTTATAAATGTTGGCCCTATAATGAAAAAATTAGTGGATGCAACAAAGCAATGCTTTATTTCTAAAGGGATAAATTTAAATGTAAAACCGTATATTAAAGGTTATCTGGAATCCACGGGTAAATTGGGAACCGATGTTTTTATTAAAGAAGCCGTCATTACTTTTTGGGGAAATAACCTTGGAGAACTCGTAAGTGAAAGCCATTACTTAAAACAAGAATATTTGTTTTTTTTTTTAAAATCAATTTATTAAAATTATTAATTTCTAAACGATTTCTTTTCTCTCTATGTATTTATTTAAGGCTTTCAAACTCTTCAAAAGAGCACATATTTCCATTGGAATGCATAGTTACATGAATATGAAAGAATCAGAATTTGAAAAAAATGTTTGATATAATAGCTCAAGAAGTCGAAGAATATCGTACAAATGCTAAAGTTCATAGATTTTATGCGCAAAAGAGATTCAAATAATTTTATTGGTTTGCATACGATATATTAAAAAAGGGTTGATGTTTATGTCATGTACATTTCAAACAAAAAAAAAAAAAAAAACCAATATGTAACAAAGATATGAATTGCTTTTGATTCGTAATTACAAATTAATTAAAAATTTAAAATGTTACGCCTTTGATAGGTTGTACAGATCATTGAAACAATTCAATATGAATTCGCATAAATATTTGTAAACAAAAAAAAAGTTAATATAACCTTTCAGATAACTTTATAAAGATTTTCAAACGTAGGAGTACCAAAAATTGAATTGAATGTAAGTTTCATATTAATACTTTTTTAAAAAAAATAAATAAGTTCAAAGGGTCTGAAACATAAATTTAGGGAATTTTTGTGAAAAACGATCGTGACAATAGATTTTTGTTGTGACCTCTATTATTAATGCTCCGAAGAGTCGGAATTATTGACCCGACTCGAATTTAGGGACGCTATGTTATCGACCCGCAACTCGACCCGACCCGTCAGAATATAATTTATATACGTTGCCAGTAAAATCAAATCATGAGATAATAGTAAATCATATGATCCGTAACGTGGAAGCGTGCCATTTTAATATGTAAAATAATCAATGGTCGGATTCGGGTTACGACTTTTTACATACCCGACCCTTTCGGAATATAAAATAATAACTATGTGCATGCATTTTTTTTATGCCTCAACAAAACGTGATACTGTTAAATTACACATTAAAGGTAGCTTTAAAACATTTTCTTATATCATAGAAAAAAATTTGTAATGATTATTTTTTTTTTTTATTTGCACATTTTCATAAAATGGTTGCACGTTGCTATTGAAAATTGTTATAAATTTAAAGGAATAAAGTTTTTCAATTATTTTTTTTTTATATATAAAAATGCAGTGTTCATTTTTTGTATGGTAAATTTTTGCGGCTGCGCCTTATCAGATCGGACACGACAGATATATTGTTGTGACAATGAATAAAATTTTTTTAAATATTATACTTACCTAAGCAAAAAAAATACGAATAAAACAGTATCTGATCTAGTGAAGTTGGTAAGAAGTTTTTAACGTTTACTTAAACAAGTTATTTGAGATAATACTTTTTTTTAATACATTTGAAATCTAAACTAGTTTCGAGAGTAAAATATCATTAATTTGAAATAAAGTATAAAAATTACATGTTGGTTATGACATTCATGTTCAGATCATATGATTTATTACGTTACTTGATTTTAATAGAAACTTATAAACTTATATCTCTTTTTAAACGACGAATTATTATTATGTCAGATAGACTTTCAAATTACAATGTAAAAAATGTAAATTCGACTTATTCACAAATTATTATCCTGTTCAATCATCAATAATATGTCTTAGTAAATTCTGATAATATGCGACAATTTTTTTTTTAATTTGTTAATTTTGATCGATTATTAAATTAACGAGTGCTACCTGAGACCGCTTTGTTACCCAGAGAATACCTTTAGAAAGCAATCCAATTAGTAATTGGTTTATTACAGAGTAGCCTGCACTTCTAATCATAAAGGTATCTGCACTGCATTGCTTGACTATTGCACAAGACAAATTATAGAACAATTAGTAATTAGTATACAATACCTCTCGGGACAAATAAAACTGCTGTGATTGTAAAAAAGTTACTTTAAAAGAGGATCTTTTAATATGTTTATTAATAAATTCGAAGAAAGCTCTCGCATACATAGGCTGTGCTAAATCCACTAGTTTGACCTGATTTGATGTTTATCGAACTTAATCACAATCTATCCTTATTTTTCGAATAACTCCACCTAACAAATCTCATGATGATGTTATTTTTTAAAGTCTTCTATCAACAATTTCAGAACTGTTATAAGAAGGAATCATATATAAGTAACCTACAAGAAATTGCCGCCTTTTCCCTACTCTATGCTATTGAAGCCGTTTCAATTTTTAACAGCTCATCGTATTAAATGCAACAAATTGAAGTAGGTAAAAGAAAATCCAAACAAAAGGTCAAAACAAAGTAATAATCGCACTTGTCTATTTTGCTACACTATATTTAAAAAAAACTTAAGATTTTGGTCCAATATTTTCTTTACTGTTTTCCTATTACTTAAATTTTAAACGATAATATGTATAGATAATAATTTTATGATGTTGCATAAGAAACTAAATAATTAAATATCAGTGTTTTGCTCATAACAAGTGAAAATTATTTCTTTGTATAAACAACATTTTAATTTAAAATATTTTCTTGCCTTTATAATCTCAAGTTTGCAAAATTGATCTGATTTAACGTCAAAACTGCATTTGACGAATGAGGGTTCATATTTGATTCTCTATACGAAGACGATTTTTGACGTGAATCTATTCATATTTCTCAAGCTATTCATTGTCGAGAAGCTGTACTTTTGAGATTACTATACAAGTGGTAAATTCCTGCCGTTGAATTGAAAAAACAAATATCCTAATTTTCAATTTGGTAATATATAGCCTCTTTATCATTCAGACCCATTTTTTATAATCGTCATCATTTTTTCCTAGATTATATATATTGTGCTTGGAGAATTTAATCGATTTAATCTTGAAGCAATCGCCAAATTTAGTTAATGTTACACGGTCAAATCGATAATTTCATACATTAAAAAGGCGCCAAAATTTTTTTTTTTTTTTTTTTTCCAAAAAAAAAAAAAAAAAAAAAATGTCTCAACAGTTTTTTTCGAAATTAAGTCAGAATTATATTGAAATCTTAGAAGATGATGAATATAATGATGTCATTATTGAAGTTGGAGAAGACTTACATATGAAAAGTTTTCGTGCGCATGCCATCATATTGAGTTATCGTTCTCCATATTTCAGACGAAATTTATCCAAAAAGGAAGGTGAGAATGATAGCTTGTGTCGTATGAAATTTTCAAACATTTCACCGGAAATCTTTCAAATGATTTTAAGGTAACTTTACAAATGTTGACTTTACAATTTTTTATTGTTTAAAAGAAAAAACATTTTTTTTTTTCATTTCACTAGGTATATCTATGGCGGATTCATTTCATTAAATGGTCATGATAACATCTCGGAAATTATTAAATTATTACTCGTGGCAAATGAATTTCATTTGCAAGAATTAGTGGATTTCTTACAAAATTATTTGATTGAGGAAAAGTCGGAATGGATTTATCAAAATTTTGAATTGGTACACAATACAAGTTTAAAATCGGTTTGCTTCACGGAATTACAACAATTTTGCATCAATTTTATGACAACTTACCCTAACAAAATATTCGAATCATTGGATTTTACCTCCCTTGATGAAAGGTCATTAATATCATTATTGAAAAGAAATGATTTACAAATGGAAGAGTTAAAGATTTGGTCATCCGTATTAAAATGGGGACTCGCGAGAAATCCCACGTTAATTCAAGATCCATCGAATTGGATGGATGAAGAATTTAAATTAATGGCAACCACTTTGAAGAATGTTTTGACTCATGTTAGATTTTTTAGTTTATCTTCAAAAGAATTTTTAGAACGAGTTCGTCCTTACAAGAAATTACTAAATTCTGAACTTTATGAAGATTTAATAAGATACTTTTTAGATCCTGATAGCAACCTTCCTAATGGTTATTTGCCTCCTAGATGTTATGTTGATACGAAAATAATTAATGTTGATATAGTTTCATTAATTTCAAAATGGATTGATAATGTAACAATACACGAAAGAAAATTTCCTGGTAGAGAAAAGTTATACTTGCCTTATGAATTCAACTTGATCTTACGAGGGAGTAGAGATGGATTTACTCCAAAAAGATTTCATGAGCTATGTGATGGTAAAGAAGATACCGTCTCTTTTATAAAAATTAAAGGAACTGATGAAATTTATGGCGGGTTTAATCCTTTAAAATGGACATCTAATAATGAATGGCTCAACACCGAAAAGAGCTTTATATTTTCATTTAAAAGTAAAAAATTTGACATAAAAGATGCCATCTATAGTAAAATAAAGGAGGAGTATATAGATCATGCAATTTTAGGAGCTATTTATGATGGTCCAGCGTTTGGTGAAGACATCAAGATTTATGGTGATCCAAATAAAAATTTTGAAAATATTTTTTGTAAGAAATCTTATTATGAAAACGCGATAAGATATACTGAATCTAAATTTCTTATAGAAGACTATGAAGTATATCAGATTAAAAAAGTAAGACAATTGTAAGAGTTTTATTAGGTAATTGGAAATACGAGCAATATGAAGGAAGTTCTTTTTCGCATAAAAGAAATAAAAATCAATTGCCTTTATTAATAAGTACCTTTCAGAAAGTTTTGAGATGACAAATAGTTGAAACTAAGAATGAACGTAAACCATAAACCATACAAAAAAAAAATACATGCCATTCGTAATTACTTCTCTAACACGTTTTGAATTTCATCAATTATAAATACAGTACATAATAAAGCGACCTATTTGTTAAATTGAGTGTTGGCATCATAGATACTTCTTCATCCCAATTCATTTTTCCAATTCATGTATGCATCCACATTTGTTTAACAATTTTTTATAGCAAAGCAATTATATTATATGTCCATAAAGATAAGTTTGATTACAATATAATAATTGTCCAAGCAAAGTGATTCCGAAGAAGAAAATTGAAGGCACTTGAATTGCGTAAGCGTATAATTTAATATTTTAATATCAAATGATGCTCGTAGTTATAACACCTCTTACATAACTGTGATGTACAATTAAAAAATATTGTATGAAATTTTTACAGCGCTCTCTGGACTTCGCTCAGGACGTGATAAAAATAAATTACCATTAGAGGAAACTTAACATTTACGCAATCCACACTTTTACGCTCCTATCTTATATTCGAAGGATTATTTAGAGGAAAATATGGAAGCGTTTTCTTATTTTAGCATTGTTAAAGCAAGTGCAGCTAAACAATAGCAAAAAGAAATTGAAAAGTAAATCTTAGAATCTATTTTTTTATTTGGAAATAATATTTAATAATATTATTTCAATCGTGTTCATTCTGAAACACACGTTATATATTTGATATTTGAACGAGGACAAGTAAAAAAACACTTTTCTACGAATTTAAGTAGGTAAGGAAATAAAAAATATTTCTTTATTATAAAGTTTAATATAAATTGCTCCTAAAAATTTTTCCCCTAGAAGATTTATGACTTTAGCGTTGAGTCGTAACTATTGAACTACTACAGTGTCATCTGAAACCACGCTTTCATGTCATGATAGAAATGACTTTAATTTTCATGAATTCTTGAAATTTACAAGTACCTTCAAGATTTAATATTAAGTAAGGTTCGTATATTGTTAAAAATAATCGCTCATTTATTTGTAAAACGCAAGTTTGCAATTTTTTTTTTTTCTTTTTTTTATCCAACAAATTTTTAATGTAAAGCAATAAAATACTAGGATTCTATTATTATCTAATAACATACACAAGTATAATCAATCTTTTGACTAATTTTTGTCATCTAACCATTCATTAGGGAAAAATGTCCAAATAGTTCCCACAATTGCAATTATTGAGCTCATCACCAAAAGAATCAAATCCCATGCAAGTTCTTTATTTGATAATTGACGACCAAACAGTTTTAAATGACATAATATCGGGAAGATTCCACATATCAGGAAAGAGAATAATGATCCAAGTAGTGACTAAAAAATTGAGATTTGTTTTTTTTTTTAAAAAACAAAGTTACGATATTTTTTCTTTTTTTTATTTGAAACTATCAAAAGAGGCGAGAATTTTTTTTTTTTTTTGTTCTTGATAAAAGAAAGCACCAAACTTACCATTGCACGATCAAATTCTGGAAGAAATATTGCAGTAAATATGACCAAGGAACACAATATAGTCCTGGACATTATAGTGAAAAAATTTTTTGCAACCTTTGACGCGAAAAATTGATAAACAAACGGTATTCTGAGGAATCCAACTTCAAAGATTATATTTATCGGGGTTATAACGAGAGGAAATTTAGTTAATGGATTGGTAACTATCATCCAAACCACGATAGAATTAAGAAGGACGCTAAATCCCTTGGTCTTCATGATATTTAACGTTATCTATAAAAGTTTAATTTGTAAGGAAACATTTTTCACATCGAATAAAATTGAACACCCCAAGGAGATTCTAACTTACCTCTTGTAAGGTATCCGGTCCAAACATTAGGTAACCACTTACTGCGACAGTAATGTAAACAATACTTGAGATTAAATAACTGTAATTGACCATACGATTATACAATGCGGGTTTTGCCATATCACGATAAAGTGAGGGGTAAACGGCATGACCTGCAAACCCAGCGTTTATAAGACCAAATGCCAATGGCAGAGTCATCCAATTCGATGGAAAAAAGGATGTGTCCATTGGATTAAGAATACTTCCTGGAGGTTCGAGTTTGGAAAAACCATCTATTAATATAACAGCCGCCACCGACAACGTTGAAATTATTCCAAATATCGATGCATATGACAGGAAATGCATGGGCATCCACGTGAAAGGAGTTATTATAAAAAATGATATCAATTTCAACTGCACCAGATCGACACGTGGAAAGAGGGTATGGAGTGAATCACCAACGAGAATCATTATAACAACTCTATTTTATTTATTAAAATATTATCAAATTTTGTAAGAATCATACCATCAAAAAGTTTGGGCCATGATAATACTTACGCCGCGTTAAACAAATCCATCGTGAACAAACCTCCTATGATTAACTTTCCTTTTTGACCGAAAGCTAAAGATGCAAGATCGGCATAGGTAAGACAATCAGGATCGATATCGAGACATTTTTTAAGAAGCTTTGCCGTATAATTCGTTAGTATTAAGCAGAACAAGAATATTAATATTCCAAAAAACCATCCCGCATACTTGAACGCAAGTGGAAAAGACAAGATCGCAAGTCCCATCAATATGTTCTAATTAGGACGATGAAAAATTTTCGTGAAATCTCTTTCCTTTTATTTGTTAACGAAAAAAAAAACACATAAAAAGTTTTGTCATACCACAGCATTGAAAACAGTTTGATTAAAAGTGGATTTTCCAAGATACGTCAACCTCTTGTAATCCTGAGCATCTTCTAATTCCTCAATAATAACAGGTTGAGAAATCAAGGGAGTCCTTTCATTAATGAAAATATCAGATCTTTCGTTGCAAGGATCCAAAGCATTATGATCGTTTTCTCCTTCATGATCAAATTCGCTTTGTAATAAGCCATTAAGTTCTTGATTAATATTATATTGTTGACTTCGAGAATATGAAGATGCCCATGATTTCACAGAGCTTGACAGCGGCTGCTTAATATTTTTATTTCTTACAATTGTTATAGGATCAGATCCTTGGAAACTCATTTTGTTAAAAGAAAAAAAAAAAGAAAAAAAAAAAAAAAAAAAAAAAAAAACGGGAAATCGTGGCTTTTATTTATATTGGAATATTCTAGTAATGTTAATAAGTAATTTTACGCCATAATAGTGCAGATATATTCCCAATTAGGAAAATTTTGCCAAACGTCAAAAAAAACAAGCACTTCAAATTTCATTGAACTGTATTAAATCAAAGCTATTCAACACAGTTTTTATTTTTGTAGATTATAAAGAGACTATCGATATTACTAATTCAAATAAGATTCTAATTGTATTTTACCAATTTAATACTTATTAATCATTAGGTAACACAATTAAGGGGCAAAATAACAAATAAAGCAAAATAAGGGTTTTATCAAAGCTCATAAGAATTGCAATGAACACCGACATTTCTTTAGAGGAAATCGTTCAAAAAATCGATAATACTAAAATTTCTGAAAAAATATTTCCAGGAGGATGAATCCCGATTATCAAGAAGTTCAAAGAGAGATCAAAAAGAATGGAATATGTAAACATTGTAACAAAATAAATGTAGAAAGAGGTTGGTGTACACCTTGCGATAGAAAAGAGTTAATTGAATTCGAATGGACAAGTGGAAATCCAAATATTGATAATTTTATCAGAGAAACACAAGCCAATGCGGATAATTTTGAAGGATTTCTTGAACTAATAGATTTTGATGGGTTTCAAGATATAAAAGAAATTGGTGTAGGAGGCTTTGGTAAAGTTTATTCGGCAACTTGGGTGGATGGATGCAATACGATTGTGGAACAAGATGGAATCTTTTATAAGACGCGCAGCGACCCTTTCACCGTTGCTCTTAAAAATGTTAAAGGTTCAAAATACGTCTCGGACGGATATTTAAATGAGGTAAATATTTTATTTTTTTTATTTTTATTTTTTTTTGATATTTACTAAAAAAAAAAGAATTATTTATTTTGATCATTGATAGATGAGAACTTATTATACCTTAAGCAAAGCATCAGAAGGCAAGCTTTTAAAATTTTATGGAATAACGGAAAATCCAACAACAAAAGAATTTTTGATGGTAACAGATTTTGCTGATACTGGGGATTTACGAAGAGTACTTTCAAATAATTTTGATAAAATGTTGTGGAAAGATAAACTTCACATATTATTTTGTATCATTCAAAATCTTGAGAATTTACATAAAAAAGGTTATTGTCATAAAGATTTCCATAGTGGGAATATTTTGCGGAAGGGTAAGGATTATTATTTGTCTGATTTTGGATTAACAGGACCGGCAAATAAATCCGATGATAAAGTTTATGGAGTTTTATCATACGTGGCTCCTGAAGTTTTACGTGGTAAACCATATTCTAAAGCTTCAGATATTTACAGTTTTGGGGTTATAATGGCTGAAATATCATCTGGACAACTTCCCTATAAAGATCAACTTGATAATGAACGACAACTCGCGATATCCATATGTAATGGGTTACGTCCCGGATTTGGAAAAGATACGCCTGATTTTTATGAGGAATTGGCTCTTCAATGTATGAATGCTAATCCGGAATTGAGACCAACCGCTGAGGAGGTTACTAGTGAAATATTTGATTTGTGGTTTATTGCAAGTGAATTCATAAGACCTATGGTAAATGATGATTTATATGACGAAAAGAAACTTCAAGAATCTCAACAAAAAGTTTCGATGGTTAGAAGCAAATTTGAAGAAGCTGATGAATACATACCAAATATTAAGCCAACATTAATGAATTACAATTTTGACATTCATAAAAGCAAACAATTAGATATCCTTGATCCTATTTCCATTGAAGCTTACGGAAGTACGTTTTTTTTAACTTAATTTGTTATTTCATTCGAAATTTTACAAATTTATTGAATTTTATTTTAATTTTTTTAGTTATAGACTCTTGCCAAGTTAATATGCATTTAAGCACTTCATTAATGGGCGGTATGCACTTTTTAAATTTTTATGTATTTGACGTGACTTATGACACCCGCCAATTCATTTTAATTCATACATTTCGCGTTAATAGGTTTAAATATTGATGGTGATGATAACGAATAGAAAATTATACCTGAAGATATAAGATTCAAGCGCGCTATATTATTAAAATTCTTTGTCCTATCTCATTATTGGGAATTTTAAGACGCGGTAACTGTGCTAATGTTATGTTTCTATTTCTATTACTTTACTATTTATCATACATAATCTTCTCCATAGTGAGATTTAGAAATTTATTTAAATAGACCCAGAAGATCCTAATATAAAATCAAATACACTTGAGCATAAGTGTCTTCACATAGGTTCGATTGTGATATCAACCGAATTGTTCGGATTGTTTCCAACACCGTTAAAATCACTAGTCCATTATAACACTTTATTTTAAAGAAATGTAATTAATAATATGAATTATATGCTTTAAACGTGAGACAAATCGTCAAAGCTGAAACTCAAGGAAAGAACCAAAATGTTCAAATTAACACTATTATTGAATATTAGGAGGGATCTAATAAGTACTTTTATGGATTAGTAAATCATTTGCGTGCGGTGACATTTTGCAAGGTCTCTCTAAACCCCACCGAACCCCGATTCGGGATAACCAGTTGGCTCATGTTATGATTAGTAAATGAAGATGTCCTAAAGATCTGTTCAATAGGTCAATTTTAATATTTCTGCTCCCCTGTGATTCTCTATAAATTTTGACACTATATTGAACAAAATCTATATCATGATTACTTGAACTAAAAAATTCGTGATCTTTTGCAACCTCACATTGTATTTAAAAAAATTTATTCCATTCAACTACTAAACTTTTATCTGGAGTGTAATTTTTTTTTTTTGTCCACAGTTTTCTGATTGATCACCATCATCAATCAAAATAATTTGCATATATGACTAATGGATCCTTCTCCCTTTCAAACTTTTGTATCAGGATTCCTGAAATACCTTCTTTTAAAATTATATCTTCTTTTCTGTATTAGATTGAAAAATCTACTAATTTAATATTTAATAATTATAATATTACTTACAAAAAACAATAAATTTCAATTCTAAATATCTTACTTAAAGCCCAAACTTGGTGTAAATTAATATATCTTTTCTTGAATAATAAATAGAGACGTTGAATTCACTGCGTAAATCATCACCGGCTGAGTACTTACTATTATTAAGGAATAAATGACAAAGTTGTTGATTCCATATATATTCCCCATTTATTTACGTTAATAAAGAAAAATTTTGTTCTATTATCATAAAAAACGCATTTATTACGTGGAATGTTTAATATATCTTCACACCTACCCTATGAGATTCCGGACATCCAGAATTCGTGCCGAAGTATGAGAGATTTTAGACATTATTGCAACACATCCTGAATTCCTTCCCCTTAGGGTTAAACGGAGTCATATATTTAAATTATTGTAAGACATTTTTAAACGTCATACTCCTCTGCCAATTTTTCCCACAGTAAAAATTTCAATAATTATAAATTACAGTTTATAAAAATTTTGATGAATTTGCGCCAGGTTTGGCGGGACAGAAGTGACGCTGCGTTAATAAGACGTGATGCAAGAGAGATTTTCGAAAAAAAAACGGAAAAATAATTCTCATTCTTCGAATTCAATATTAACAAAATAGTGTATATCCAGTATAAATTTATCTGAACATAATTGCTTTACTTATATTTATGTTCTGTAGTAATAAGTATCAAATTTGAACTTTTTTTTTTGTATGATCTTTCTTGCAAATATTCAATGGGTCATTGTTAAGAACAAAAATATTTCATTTTGAGAGTATTCTGAATATTTTTTCTTCTGTTATACCCCTAGCTGAAAATGATTAATGCAGACATGACCCATTATTCGTAAGCAAATTCGGGTAAGAATTTTGGTTTATCTTGTGAAATGTATCTCAGCAAAAGATAATTCTAAAGAGCTTACAGAATTGGAAAATTATTTTGAGCGTTACCTTTTCAAGTGCGTTAAACTTAATTTCGTCTGTGAAACGAAACATCTCCAGTACCTTTCAAAGAAGTAATATGTTCAAGAATACAAGATAACTGTAGTTTTTAGGCAGGATATCTCTCAGCTATTATTAATGGTCTTGTGACGAAACATTATTATACAGATAATCATCGTCATCGCACATGATTGAGTTTAATTTTTTTTTTTTTAAAAAAAAAAAAAATAAGCAAAACTACTTTAAAAAAAACCCATAACGCCGTTTTTTTTCAAATAACTTTCTCACAAAATGAGACGCTACCTTATTAATTTTATAATTTCTGTATTGTCGTTATTCACAATTACGTTTGCTATTTTTATAATCTGCTTGTTTTCTCCTATTTTATTAATACTACAGATTATCAGGTGAGGGTCCAAAAAAATACAAATGACCTTGAAAATATACATATTTTACGTTCTGATACATTTACTTTTTTATTTACCAGATTATGTTTTATGTATTACAAAAAATCAAGTGGGGTACCTTCTTGGTTTCAAGGCTTAGAAGATCAATGGGAAGATCCTATAGAAGATGAAAGAGGTTGGAATTTTATCATTATTATGAAATTATCTGTATTGAAGGCAACCTGTCATTAAAAAGCAGATATTCACAATGAACCATGATTTGATGCACATTATATATTTGCAAAGTATAAATTTCAGTAATAATTTATTATGTAGAAGAATATCATAATCCGCAAGAAATATTTGACAATTATATAAGGCGCTCAGAGAATGAACCACGAGGCGAACAAGCAAACGAAAAAGAAGACAAAGGAGTGGACCTAGAAGAAGATTACAATTATTTCTCCTCGTCTCTGGAAAATTTATTGTTTTAAATAATGCCTTAATTCAAATCATACTTGAAATTCCAACATGCTTTGATAAGATCTCGGTTATATTCACAATAATGAACGAACTCATATTAAGAAATATCTTGTTTGATTTTACTTACTTTTAATAAACTCTTGCGTTAATAAAATGTAAACCTTTTCGTGATTAATAGATACTGAGAGAAATTCATTCTTAAGTTTGGAATAAATAACTAATAAAAAAAAAACAATAATTGTGAAACTATAAACCTATACAAATGAAGAAAATGCTTGCGTGATCTCTTTTATACTTCATCATGATAAATTTCAGTTAATCAACATAACTCTATAAAAATAAAGATAGTTTAGGCCTCTATATTTTATTCATATAAATAGTAATTCATTACAATTTCATTTCCAATCCATAGAGTCAGGTACTTGAGAATGCCTTTACATTCATAACAAATGAAGAATTCTTTACTAAATATAATTTATATCTCATATTTTAGTATTGTAAAATCATTATTAAACGTTATTTATTTTAATAATTCATTTCTATAATATTTAAATCATAATTTAAAAATAAAACATATATAGTCCCTAGCAAAAAAAATAGCACACATTTTTTAAGATATAATATAATATTATTATTATTTTAATACAGAATTATTTATTGTAATCTGCATTAATACATGCTTAGTTTAGTTTAACATACTTTTGATATAATAAAATAACATATAACAAGCTAATCCTATTTTCTACTGAATTATGATAAATAAAACCTCTTTTTATTTTTTACTATCAAATTCTTGATATATCTCTCAACTTTTCTCTTTAAAATAGCCCATATATTTTCAATAGGATTCAAATTCAAGTTGTATAAAAATTAAAAAAAACTTGTCTTAGAACATATTTTTTGAATCATAGCAAACATTTTATAAAATATATTTTGGATTATTATTTTGCTAAAAAATTCAGTTATAATAATATAATTCATTTATATTGCCATATAAATGATAATTTCAATTTTTAGTAAAAAATAAATTTAGTCCTTTTTTAATACTAATTATTAATAATATGAATTTTAAATAGATATTTTATCATTATAAAACTATACATAAATAGTATTACTAAATATTTTATTAGAAAGAATCTCTTTTTTCTAATTTTTTAAATAAATATTTACTATTTAAAACAAATAAATATCATTTACAATTTAGATAAGAAAAACAATAATAAAAATTTAATTGAAATTATTGAGATTATTAAGCTCATAATATATCATATATGTATATATATTATCATTATTATCATCTTCAAAATTAGAAAGTTATTTAATAAATTTTATTTAACTAATATATTTGATCTTAAAAAATTTAAAAAAAGCTTTATTAAATATTTTTTTAAGGATAGTATTATACAGTTCTCAAAAAAAGTAATTGAAATTACAAAAAAATGTAATAAATAAAAAACTAGTGATTAAAATTATTTTAAATTTTATAGATTTATTAATAAATATATAAATATTACGTATATAAATTTTCAGCTATTTATTTTATCTCTTTATCTCACAATCACATTTTTAATTAAAAAAAATCATTAAAAATTTAAAGAATGAAAAATTTGTTAAGTTTTTATATAATATCTCAAATATCAATAAACAGCTTTTATATTTATATAAAAAAAAATTACTAATATAAAAAATATATCTTTTAATAAATTTATAAAAAAAATTTTGATGCTATTTATCAGTTGATATTTAATAAATTGAAATTAAAGTTAATTATCTCTTAAATTATAAAGGTTTGCAGACAAATTTGCCTGCTTATTTACTATAAATTCCTTTCTAATTTACTTTTATGACAAATTTTTTTTTTAAATTAATTTTATAAATATATATAAAATTTATAGTAAATTTTATTTTTTAATTATATAATAAGTAATTTAAGGTTACTTATAAGCTAAAAATTTGTAATTTTTAAAAAAATTATAAATCAAAAAATTTTATCATTGACCTTTGACTATCTTATTAATATTTTACTTTTAATAATATTAATCATAATAAAATATTATAAAATTTATTATAAAGAATAACTTCAATTATTATAATTTTTATAATTTACTAAGAAATTTTATGATTTTTATTAATAGTAAAATATTTTAATTAGTTTGCAAATGTATAAATTTTAAGAAAATTTATAAAAAATTATTATAATAATTTTTTCAAAACTTAATTTTAAAAATTGAATTATTTAAAAACTTCTTAATAAACTTAAAATTTCTTCTAATAAAGTTAATAAAATATATATTAAATTATATTTTTTATATAATTATTATATTATTAAAATTAAAAATTTAATATTTTATTAAAAATTAATACTTTTTTTTTATGTTCACAACAAATTTTATCTGCTTTACAGTTTAAAGGATAACTTTTATTTTCTAAAGCAAAAAAAGAATTATTGATTATATAAAGCAAAATGGAAAAATAAGGTGGTAATACACTTTGAACTTGATATTACAAGTAAGTTTAGATTAGATAACTGAAATAAATCAAAACATAAAACAAATTAGTTCTGGTCAAAAAGCTTTTTATTCTGAAACTGAAAAAAAGTTATATCATTGAATTATTGAGCAAAAAAGTAAGGACTAGCAATAACATATACAATTATTTAAGTTAAAATACTAAATATTATAAAAGAAGATAATAATAACTAGTAGAGAATCTTAAAATATCAAATTATTAGGTATCTGCATTTATGAAAATAAACTGACTTGATAGAGAAATATAAGAATTTTATAAAAACTTTTTGTATAGATTGAAGAATTATTAAAAAAGTTTTACCAATTTATTATTTATTTTAGGGTTAAAAATCCTATGAGTTAAGCAACATTATGAGACACCTATATAGTTTAATATGATAGGAAATTTCATCATTAATTGGAAAGGTGAAAAGTCAATTCAGATTCATATAATAGACAATGAAAAATTCAGTTTACAGTTATTTTAACATATTGTCAACATTAAAATAGACGTTATCACAAATGCAAAAAATATTACATGAAAACTGTCAGGTAATAATATGTAATAATGATTAACAATTATAGGTAAATCAGAAAAATATTAAAGATCTACATGATTTACCTGATTGATCAAATCTACCAGTTTTGTTTGATACTGTGAATTTTAATTATACTTATAATAATAGATAATTTTTCATTCTAAAATGTCTTCATTTTATTTATTTATTTTTTTATTTTATATTATTTATCTTTTATCTTATATTTTACATCTTTATTTTATTATTTTTTACTATTATTTTTTATTTAAAATAGTTAGTTTATAACGTAATCAAGTAGTTAGTCATAGTAAATTTATTTTGTATAAATAGAATAACTTTTTACTTAAATTCTAAATTAACTTTTTTGTAAGTTTATTAACTTATCTGTAAGTTTCTATAAGTTTCAATATTATAAATAAAAAAATCAATTTAAATCTATACAAGTTACTTTTCTCTTCAACATTATCTCTCATCTAGAATTTGTTGTGATATCCTACACTAATTTTGTTATTGAGTTCTTCATTACAAATTTAATTAAATATATCTTAAATTCTAAGCGTAATAAATTGTCTAGTTAATTTAAATATAACAGATATTTGTAGGACTTAAAGAAAATCCTAAGGTCAGAAATTCTAACATGTAGAATCAACTACCGCAGCCTTTTAACTTAGAAATTAAAATGAAAATGAACCTAATGACAATGTATTGCAAATGAGAATTTTGCAAAATTTATGGTAGTTAAATTATAATTTTTTTAATAATTTATTTAGTGATATATTTGAACTAATATTAATTTATTTATTTCTAAATTTGTTATATTATAAATGGTACAAAATTACTTCTGATATGTATTTTCAAGAAAAAATGAAGAAAAATTCCTTCTGATATCTTAGTCTAGTTTTAAGAAAACGAATAGATGGATGTTAAGTTAATGAAGCAATATATAGATTATCTCAACAATATAATGAACAGTAATAAATTCAGGATTCTAATGATAATGATTTATGATTTCTTTAAAGAATATTTGAAGGAACCTATTAAGAAAAATTTCAAGATTATGGATTTGATCTAATAGTTATTCCAGCTGGATTGACTAGCATGTGTAAATCTCTTGATGTTATAATCAACAAACTTTTTAAAGATAATCTTCATAAAGAATAACATCTTTAGATGGCTAATGGAAGTGCTAGACTAAGTGCTGAGAGTAGGGATGCTAATGGTCATAGTTCAGTTATAACTGGTTATAACTGTGACCGATATCGGTCAGTCAAAGGCTTCTGACCGACCGGTTGACCGATTGACTTGAGACTGAATAATCATGTTTTAAATAGTAAAAATATTTTGTATTAAAATTAACAAAATCAACATTTTATTTTAATTAGCTATAAATTAAAATTTTGAAATTTTGAAAAAAAATTAAAAGTTTGCGTTAATGCTGCGTCACTATAAAAATGACAAATTAGTTTAAAAAAAATGCTATGCTAGAAATGTTAAAAAAACAAGAATCAAAATTATAATATTTGGCTAAATTAAAACTTTCTATTAAGTCACAACTGCTCAATTAATATCGGTCAGTTAACCGGTCAGTCAGTCAAAGGCCTTTGACTGATCGTTGACCGATCGTTGACTGACCATAACCGACCGTTACCATCCCTAGCTGAGAGTAATCTTCAGCATGGATAGATAAAAAGATCATAAGAGCAAATTTCTGATGAGGTAATTATTAATTCTTTTAAAAATTGTCATATATCAGATGTCTTGGATGATCTAAATATTAGTAATGATGATTTGGAAAATTCTGATAAAGAAAATGAGAATAAGATTATTGATATTAGTGATGATAATAATACAAATTTTAATGAATCATTGTAGTTAGATTATTTTTTATTTTTTTATTTGTAAATTCAATAGTTTTAATAGTTTTAATAATTTTACTAATCAAATTAATAATAAATCTTTTACTTTTATTAATAAAATTATAAATTTTTTGAAGGGATGCTTATTTTCAGAATATTTATAAATATAAGGATGCTTATTTTTGGGGCGTGCTATTTACAATAAAAAACACATCTTATATCTCTTCATAATTAAGGCGTCAGCCATAATGGTTCCAGAACATCGATAACCTGAAACCATTTTTGGTCAAGTCGGGTAATTTAAATTTTCAGATCAGGTAACTGGTTTACGGATAAAATTCTAATTTTAACATCCGATTTTTTTATATCAAATCATTTAATAATTTTTATATCCTCTAGTATTCCTCATAATAATTATTAAACATGAAATGTTTATATAGCACGTATTAATTATATAATAGAATATTCTGTATTTTTAACTTTTTCGAAATTACGAAAGGAAACTTGAAACCTTACTGTAAGGTAATAAAGAGAGACGATTATTTGATAAAAGGAAAACATAAAAGAAATAGGAAGAAAAAAAAAGTTAAACTTTATGTCTGCATTAGCCGAACATTATATCATAACCTTTAATGGCAACAATTTTATAATTGTCTTATTATTTTACTTTTTGGTCAACTGAAAAAATGATTTACTCTATTTAGGACATTCTATTATGTAATTGAGCAGATGAAACCATTTGTGTATCGGGCATGTCATTTACCCAAATAACATGGGTCAGTTTTCAAATAATAACTGCATGACGATTATTTAATTGACCAAATCACCAACAAAACATTCATTTAAGTAAGTCGGGTGATTTCCAAAATTATATATTTCTGAAAGGGGAGACGTAACGGGGTGGCTTGGTATATACAATTTAATTCTCGGGTCATTTTCATTCATTTTATTATTCGTTTTTGTATTTAAAGTCCGTTTTTTTTTTTACACTTCAGAGAATATTTTTTTTTTTTTCATTTTTCTTTCTTTACATATTCAAGTGAATCTTCTATAAATACTTTTTACCAACTTTAAAATATGGCAACATTTTTCCGGCGGATATTGAACAAACGAAGTGTCAATTCACTCGTTCAACTTGATCGTTTTATAGGTGGCTGTCCTCATCGTCCAGTAATTTCTTTAACAAATATGACCACAAGGTTATATTCTTCCTCGTCTTCTTCCTCGTCTCCATCGAGTACGAAAAAGAACAATACAACACATACTGCACCTCAGAAAGAATTGCACTTTGTTCATGTTCAACATATACATCCACGAGAACTCGCGCAGAGCACGTTCTTTGCGTTGCATAGACCATTGTTAACCTTTGGTAATGAACAAATGCAACAAACATTTGAAAATGGGCAGAACCAACAGGTTTGGGAAGAAGAAGGTAACCCAATTAATACATTAAAAATTTTGTCGTTTGTCTTTTGATCCATTTACTAAGTAAAATTTTTTTTTTCGATCATTTTCATTTCATTTTTTTTTAGATTACGAAGAGAATTCCGGATCCAATGCTAACAACGCAATACCACTCGCTAACCCACTTTCACCTTATCTAACTACTACTCCATTTCATCCCAATCAACCAACAATTTCAATGTCTGCTGCAGAATCAAAGTATGTAGTTAATAGATTTTTCTCTGAAATAAAATTAAAGTTCAATCAAGAACAATTATTAAATAATCAAAAGACGACAGTTACGGAATTAGAAGTAGATAATGTAAAACAACTGGAACAATCGACAAGTGAAATTAATTTTGAAGAAGAAAGAAAGAAAAGAGAGAAAACTTTATATCTGACAAACATTCTTCAGAAGAGAAGATTGAAAATGAACAAACATAAACTTAAAAAATTAAGGAAGAGAACTAGAGCATTAAGAAAGAGACTTGGAAAGATTTAATTAAGATATTTTGATCATTAATTTTGAAAATTATTTTCAATTATAATATTATATAGAAATTAGTTGATTTGTTATATTCATTATTATTATTATTATGAACAATTTATTATTTTTTTTTTTTTTAGTTCAAAATATGTATTAGAAATAATCATTGTAATTACGTAATTTTTTTTTTTCAACTTATTAAAAGGTAGCAAGCAAATTCTATTTGCTTGACAAAACCTTCTTTACCTTATTATCAAAGAAACTAAATAAATTGTTGATACGTGTCATGAATAATACTCTAACTCAGTGTTGGCCGTTTGGCCGAGGTTTGGCCATTAGCCATTTGGCCCCACCAAAAGGCTAAAAAAATCTCGGCCGCGGCCAAATGCCAATCAAATTCTATTAAGTAGTTATTTGGCCAAAATTTGGCTGTTTGACTGGACACGGCGAAAAACTTCTTACTGACTTAACTTAAACCGACATAACGCCCGTGACAAATAATGGGTCACATGATACCCATATTCGATTAGATTATCTACAAAAAGTTTTTTTTTTTTGCTTGCTTCGATAATTTTCTGTTATGGATTCAGATACTGAGCATTCGAATACTAATCCTGTTGTAGATTTGAAATTGGTAAATTGAAAATTTTCTAAATTTCTGTTCATCTAAAGTAGCATTTCTTTAATGAACCATTGTTATCATTAATTTATTAAAAAAAATGCATACGTACAGATTGAAAAGGCTACCCATGCATTATTAAAACATGAAAAAGTTCGACCAAAGTTAGGAAATGATTTATTATCGGATGGTCAACCAGTAAATGTTTGGTTGATAGTATCATTGTTCAAATTTTCTGACAAGCCCAGGCTTAAACCCGCGAGAATGTAATAACTTTTCTTTTCTTTTTTTTTTTTTGTAATAGAAATAATTCAATTAATTTATGCTTTTTTTTTCTTTTATTTTAGTCCGTTAAAGCATCCTTTATATGGATCTTCAACAGATATTTGTTTAATTACTAAAGATCCGCAAAGAACTTATAAAGAATGGGTTGCTGCACACAACGTTAAATGGGTTCAAAATGTAATTTCAATTTACTTATTTATGTAAACAACAACTTCATATTAATTATAATTTTTTTTCTTTTTTTTTTTAAAAAAAAAAATAAATATTAGGTAATTGGAATTTCTAAACTTCGTAAAAAATATATACCTTACGAAGCTAAAAGAAATTTATGTGATTCGTATGATTTATTTTTAACGGATGAGCGTATTTTACCTCTTCTTCCTAATATGTTGGGAAAATATTTCTTTGAAAAGAAAAAGTAAAATATTATATATATATATATATTTTTTAGCTTGACATTTATTTGTTTACTTATTTATTTAAGAAATTCTTTTAATTTTATTACATTATAGGCAACCGATCCCAGTGAATATTAGTAAAGAATCGAATTTCAAAAGAGAAATTCTTAGAGCTTGTCATTGTACTTATATGTATTATAGTTCAGGAGTATGTCTGTAAGTAATCATAACAATTTCAATTTATTTTTATGAAAGATACTCTAATTAATATTCGACTTTGTAATAGATCTATTAAAATAGGGACAACAGGTATGACATCAAAACAAATTTTGGAAAATTTAGAAATGGCCATTCCAGTTATTGTAGATAAAATACCAAGGAAATGGAAGAATATTCAATCTTTACAAATAAAGACAACAGAATCTATTAGTTTACCTATATATAATTCTTTACCTAGTTTACCTATTGAAATTGATCCTATAAGTTTAGAAAATCCTTCGAGTCATGGTGATAATGATAGTGAAGTTAGCGAAGATAATGAAGATGAAAGTGAAAGTGAAGGCGAAAGCGAAGATGATGACGAAGATAAAGAGGATAATGCAGATGAGGATGACAAGGCTACTAAAAAAAGGAAAATTTCAAATGACATCTCCGAAAACGTTGTTGTTCCCAAGAAGAATAAGAATTCACAGGTAATTAAGTTATGACAGAATTTCTGTAATCATAAATAAAAAAACTTAATTTCGTTAAAATTTATTTATATTCGATAAATTAAAAAATTTTTTTTTTATACAAAATTTTTTATAAATTATGTTTATAGTTGAAAAAATCTACAGTAAATATAATAACCAAAAAAGAAGAAGGGATGAAACGTCCCCTTAATAAAAAAGTTAAGGAAGGAAGTGATATCGTTAAAGCAAAGGAAGGAGAAGAAAAAGTGAGTAACTCTGTAAATGTTATTACAGCTGAAGCAAAGGATAGTAATTCTAAAAAAGGAGAAGGGAGAGCGAAAAACAACGTAAAAGTAAACATTACACTCGAACAAAAGAAAACTAATGGAGAAGGAAAAAAGTCGAATAATGCCGTAAAAGTAAAAACTACAACTGAAACCAAGGATAGCATTCCTAAGAAAGGAGGAGAAGGGAAAGCAAATAGTAATGCAAAGGTACCAAAACAACAGAAAGCCAATGTTGTAGGTGAAATAAGAGCGAGTACTGAAGAAAAGATTACAAATGAAGCAAATGATAAAAATTCTAAGGAAGAAGGCGGCAAAGCGAATAGTAATAAAAAAGTAAACACTATACCTAAACAAAAGAAAGCCAATATTGGAGGAGAAAAGAAAGCAACTGTTGAATTGAAGAAAAGTAATTTTAAACAAGACGAAAGTAATTCTCGAGTTCTAGCTACGGCTTCCAATGAGAAGAAACGAAAAAAAACATCCGAAATTAAGAATGTAAAGTCTGCTATAGATGCTACTACAAACAAAAAGAGTACTAAGGATGATGATAAAAAAGATCCTTTAGATGACAAGGTATCGGGTTTTATTGCTGAACAGAAAAAGAAAATTATAGAACAAGCGGACATGAACTCTAACAAAAACGTTGTTGGTAATGATAAAGCAGTAAAATCTGCTGCTGCTAATGTCAGAAGCAAGAAAGCATCAGAGAAGAAGAAAGGAAAAGACGAAGAAGGTAGTCATATGAAAAACAGTGGGTCTGCTGATAATTATGAGAAAAAGAAAGTAGCACAGGAGAAACCGAAAGGCGAAGCAGAAGTTAATGGCAATGGCAAGAAAAATGGTAAAAGCATTAAGAGAAAAAGAGAGGTTTCTGGAAAAAATAAGCCAAATAAAAGAAAATAGCAATAATAAGTAATTATTTTTTATTATAACTTAAAATTTGTATTGAATCATATTAGTGTTAATTCTTAATATTTTGCTGGCTTTGGTTAATTCTTTACCTGGATACAATATTTTAATTTTTTAATAAAATATTGCAAATCATTAAATGATTAAGGATTTTAAACAAATTTGATATTATGCTTTATCTCTGTTTTAAAAAATAAGATTTACTAATTCTTTTCATTTTTTTTGAATTTTATAATCATATACAAAAAAGTGTATAAGATTTTTTAATATAAGAAAGATAAAACATGCAATTTTTCTTTTAAAATTAGCAGATCTTAATTGTATATATTACAGAGATAAAGTTAAAGTTTATTTCTTTAATTAATTTAACATAAATTAATTTTTGTATATTTATTATTATTTTATGATTTATTTATTATAAATAATTAAAATAATCATAATAAAACAAATTTTTATTAAATTTGTCTTTAACTTTTTAAAAATATAATATTATAAAATATTTAAAGTCTTTTAGATTATTAATAGTATTTTTATATTTATTCTTAATAAAAGTATTAAAGAATAAAATCTAGTAATTGTTTTTTGATGAATTATTAAGATACTTTTAAAGATTTATAATTTTACTTTATAATTTTATATATAATTTATAATTTAATCAAAAAAAAATATTAATAATAAGTATTATTATTTTTGAATTGCTAATTTAAATTAAAATATTTAAAAAATAATTTTATATTTTTTTATAAAGTTAAAATTTTAATATACTAAGGAACGGTTTTGAAAACCATTGTTAAGTTTAAAGTATAAGTGTAATGAAAAGGACCAATCACGTATTAACTCAAATTTTGAATGAGCAGATAATAGGATACCTCATGTAACATGTGACTAGTATGTGAAAGTCCTTCGCTTCGCTCAATACTAATAATTGATCAAATATAATAATAGGTATTATAATTATAATTTTTTAAGTTATATCTAAATATATCTGTTCAAAAAGTATTATAATTATTATTGATATTAGTTTAGAAGTATAAATTAAAATATTAAAAAAAATTAAGATTTTATATAATAAAAATAATTTTATCTATTAATATTCTGTAAAATTAAATCAAATCAGATTTGATCTAATTTGATCTAATTTTATATTTATAGATCTGATTTAAATTTGAATACGATAGATCAATTTAAATTCAAATTTGATTTAAATCTGAATTTAATAGATTAAATCTTAAATTTGAATCTGAAAATCAGTTAAAATCCAAATTTGATCTAATCTGAAACTAATTCTAAAAAGTTTCTTTTCATTGAAATTTTTGGTTATTATAATTAAATGATAATATATCATTTAAAAAAAATAATAATAAATCATTCAAATTAAATAATATAAAATTGTTTAAGAAGAATGATAATACATTATTTTAATGAATAATAATAAATTATTTAAAAGAACAATAATATCATTTTAATTAAATGATTATAAATTATTCTAATTAAATGATAATGTATTGTTCAAAATGAATAATTATATGTTATTATTCAGATTACCTGATCACCATGTGATCAAATTAAACTTTTTTAAAAGTCACATGTTTTTTAATTTTTATTGTTCCTCTTTTTTTCACATTTTTTTTCGAAGAAAATTACTTAAAAAAAGTTGAAAGCCGTTATTTTTATATAGTTTTCTTTTTCTTAAAATAGGATTCTAACTTCTTAAATAATGCTAAATGAAAGTAAAAAGCGCGCACAAACGTCAAATGTAATATTAAAAATAAAAATTATTATTATTGAAATGTATTTATGAATTATTAAATAATACATCTCTATAAATATATATTTTTTAATAGATCAATAAGTCCAATAGCATTGAATTTTTCAAATCATTTGAACAAGTAAAAAGTACAACTAGTGCTACAAAAAATTGGATCAATAAATTGGAAAAATTTAAAAGGGAAAGTTTGCAGAAGAGAAAATTGAATAAATAGATTCAATATAAGAATTTGATAATCAACTTGCAACTTATGTTGCAGAAATGAAACAAAAAAATGGATAACAATATTCTGCAAATTCTGTTCGCTATGCAATTGCTGCTATACATTGACATCTTATTAAATATTCTGTAATATCTGGAATAAACATTCATGATCAATCAACATTTTTAACACTTTGGGAAGTTCTTAATAGAAAATTGAAGTTTTTTTCTAATTTAGGACTTAATGATGCAAAGGGTGCTGATGCATTATATATATATAAAATTCTAATCATAAAATATTGGATGATACTACATCAGAATAATTATTATATCGAATTTACTTTTATAATACACTTTTATTAGGTATTAGAGATAAAGAGCATTTTGCACTTCTTTTAGAAGATTTTAAAAAAAGAGAAAATGATAAATTTACAGTATATATATATATCACAATAAAACTAATTAAAGAGGTGCATTTGAAAATAGAGGAAAGGCAAACAAAGTACTTATACCTTACAATGAAGAAATTATTCAATATTATAATAAATATATTTCATTGCATCCAAAAAATGCAGATTCAGAATTTTATTTACAAGAAATGGAAGATGAAGATGGTAAATAATGATTTTTATTATTAAGTTTTTATTTTTTTTTTAAAAAACTAACTAATTTGTAATATAAGCTTTTTCATCTAGTGTATGGTTTAAAAGGCATCATATTGGACTTAATCGTCTTAAATCACTTATGAGAACTATTTGTATCAATGTAGGTCTTAATATTAAAAATAGAAAAATTGTTTCTCATACTGGTAGAAAAACTATGATACAGGCTTTGGAAAGTCTTGGTGAATTTATTCTTAATATTCAAAAATAATCACGTTATAGAAATGATGAAAGATTGTGTTCATATTTATTAACAGATGAAAAAGATCAATTACATATGATGGAAAATTTAGCAGAAAAAATAACTGAAAGTAGTAAAAATTAAAAATGTAATAATACAATTTTTTTTTACTTTATTATTTTATTATATTTTAAGTTGTTCTAACAATTTTTTCTTTTTTTATATTAGCACTTCAGGAAATAACAGCTAATTCTAGTAATAATACATTTAAATAGGTATTGCAAGGTATACTTTAAATAATAATATTTGTAATTATTAATAATTATACTGTTATACTAATTTTTTTTTTAGTGTATAAAAATTCAAAAAAAGAAAAGAAAGTTGAAACTTTTGAAAAATACTACAAAAAATTCAATTTAATTTATAATTTCTCAAGACCAATTTGCAAAAATAATTCAAAGTGGTATATTAATAAATTCTGAATTAAATATTAAATTAGTATAATTTATATTTTATTTAGCATAATTATAAGTATGTATTTAAACTTATATTTAATATGACGATATAATAAAATTATTAGCATGCTATATTGAGCACATTATATAAAATATTGGTACAGTATGCACATGATGATCTTATAAAGCTGTGTAATAATATATATTATTCTAATTGAACAATAATGAATTGCTTAAGAAGAAATCATTTAATGGAAATAATTTAGATTTGAATCTGAATTTAAATCTGACGAATTAGATTTCAAATTAGAATCAGAATTTGAATTTGATCTAGATCTGATAAATCTGATTTGAATCTGATCGGTTAGGTTTAGATTGAATTTAAATCAATTCAGATTTGTAAAGAATATTACTATTTATTATAATATTTTTATAATATTTTTGTTAAAATAAAAAATATTATTAGTTATAAATTTATATATATTTTTTGTTTATTATTTCTTCAATAGTATTACAGGCAAATTTGTTTATATTTTAACATTATTTTTATTAATTTTATTAAAGATAATAAAATATTATTAATTATAAATTTTACTTTAAAATTTACAATTAATTATTAATAAAGTATTTTTATGTCTATAATGCAGATTAATTAATATTTATATTACTTTATATTCTAAATATTATTGATAGAATTTTATTTAATTTTAATCATATTACTTATGTTCAATGAATTATTTCTATTATTCCTTTAAATGATAAATATAAATTATTATAAAATATTGTAAAAAATTATAATATTTTAATATCTAATATTTATAAAAAGATTTATTAGATTTATTCATATTAAGATATATTAATAGGTAGTATTTTTAATTTTTAAAATTAATATATATATATATATCAATTTAAAATAATTTGTTATTAAATAATCAAAAAAAAAAAAATAATATTTAGTTTGTTGGATTCATTTTATTAAGACCTATTAAATAGTAGTATTTTTATATTTCTGAGATTGATATATTGCAAGATATGAGTTTAAAAATCACTAGTTAATAAATTACATTTTTTTTTTTTTTTTTTTAGAAAACATCATTAAATCTATTACACAGTAAATGTAATTTTTAATAAAAATATTTAAATTATTAAATTATTAAATAAAATTGCAGGCAATTCCTTGAAGTATAATGATTTAATGATTTATTAACGGTTTTCACCAAAATTATACATAAAATATAAGCAATTCATTTTTATTAATTTTATTGAAATACATTATCAATTTACCATAATTATTATAATTATTAAGCAGAGAAAATGTATGTCTTTATTCAAAAATGTGTCATCCATCAGCTACGTTTATTTGGAACATGTAGTATCAGATTAAATTACTAACATTACCTTAGTAAGACGGTGAAGCTCCACCAAAAGTTTAATGTAAATCACGCCTCTTTTTCCAGTTCTTTTCAAATTTTTTCAAGTTATTTTTGAAACCATTTTCTTTTTGAAAATCCTTTCGTACATTAAACACTTGTTGTATAAGAGGTGCTAAATCATGTGATGTACATAACTGGTATGAGTTAATTTTATCTGACAGTGCCACATTAAGAAGCATAGAAACAGGAAGCCCCGAAGAGGTAGGAAAACTAAGAAGGTATTCGATTTCTTCTACACTAAAATACACATCTGAGAAGAGGAATTTAGCAGTTGGATTCTCATCTAGGCGAGATCTGGCATCTTCGGAACTGTCAAAAGTTAAAAGATCGTTGACAAAGATTTGGATTTTGTAAAATAAAGATTCGTCCTCTTTATGCAACTTTTTCAGCTCAATTTTGTAGCTCATTATATTTTCACAGGTGGAAGTGAGCAGTTCAAGCAAACAATCAGCACCTTTGAAAACAAATGTAATAAGAATCAGTTTTTTATTTTCACATGATATTAAATTTATAACTTGTTTATGGAGCACCTTTATGTTCACGCAAAATGTAACGACACCAGATTGGGCGAGTGAGCTTAATTGTTGCAAGCTCTCTATTCCTTTTTTCTGCAGACAAAGAAATGTTGAACAGGCTTACACCCTCACCTAGCTTTGATGTTATAAAATCTGAAAATAAAGACCAGCTGACTGCTATGTTTTCGATAATCATAATTTCCGTCGAGTCCAATTCTTTCAGCGGAGTTTCAGTGAATGGTTCTATATCGTTATCTACTGAAGTTGTCGATAATGACAACTTTTGAAAACAATCGTCAATAGAAAGATTTGGTGAGGGTTGTCCTTTAGAACGAAAGACAATGAAAATGCGTTCACTGTTTACGTAATATGTTGAGAAAAGAAAATTTTAAAAGGCGATCATCAAGAATTCTTATCCAGTATTCTTCTGTGGATTTTTTAATCCAGCAAACATAATCAAAATCAACATTTAGCATAGTTTGAAAAGCATTGAGATTAACATCTTCTAAATCGGTAATAGTTAGAGTGGCAGCATTAGCGATTTGTTCAAACAAACAAGTACGGATTTCAGATAACAAATTTATTATAGTCATTACAAATGTCTATAAATCCTCAGAATACGTAACACAAAGTGATCGACGTCATATCGGTAATATATCGAAAACTAATTATTTATTATTGTGTATCCGAAAAAATGATGAAAAGCAAGGTTTTAAGGAAGGAATAAAGCCATTATGATGGCAGTTCCTTCCTTGCTACTCGATGATAATATCTAAACTACCAGAAATTTCTTACTATCTACCCATCTGTTAATTAATTTTAATGGGATAAATTTTGGTTTCTTTTGATTTTTCTCCGCCATAATAAAAGCTTTTTACGGTATCTCACTTTTCAAACGCATAATCCCAAACCGATCACATGAAAGCTCTTTTGTTGATTTAAATTTTATAAAATTGTAATTTTTTAATGTTTAAATAAACATCATATATTTGTTAAATAAGCTTTTAACTTTAAAAATTTAAGTGTGTTTATTACAAATTTTTTTATTTCTTTGGATTTTCATATATTTATTTTTATTTAAATGAGTTACATTGCATATATTACACCATATAAAATGGTAAATAACGAAATGTACGAATTCAGCAACTTATTTAGGGGAAGATCTGGTGTAAAATTAGATAGAATTAAAAAAAGAAAATTGCTTTATCTGATAACGATAAGCGACCATACGATTATCAAATAGATAAGATAACAATAGAAAGTATAAATATCCATACTATTCGAAATTTTTTCTCTCTCCTCCTCAAATAAATTATGATGAGTTATAACATTTTTACTAGAGTTTCGTTTGAAAACGCTAAAGGTTTGATTCCTCATATGATTAGAGGAATTTCAACATCGAAATCCCATCGAGTAGACACAATTAATCTACGATCCGAAAATCCTCAACAACGTATAAAGGTAGGTATTGCAATTTTCAATCGATTTTTTTTTGTTCAGCTGGAATTTCGTATCTAAATTCTTCAATCGATTAATTAATTCAATTAAGGAAAGGATATCAGCAATTGATAAAGAAAGACCATTTAGCAATTTTTTAACGGATAGGTTTGATCGACAACATACATATCTTCGCATATCGATAACGGAACGATGTAATTTGAGATGTAAGTTTTAACTTCCTTTTGACTTGTGTTGTAATTCGCTCGTGTCACAAATTAATTTTATTACTTGTTATAGGTAATTATTGTATGCCAGCCGAAGGTGTCGATTTAACTCCCGTTCATAACCTACTGTCAACCGAAGAAATCATACGAATTTCGCAGTTATTCGTTTCTCAAGGTGTCAACAAGATTAGACTAACAGGAGGTGAACCAACGGTAAGAAAGGATATTGTTGAATTGATTGGTAAGTGGAAATTTTCTCTTTTTTCCTCGCAAGAATGGATCGATTTAAGAATTCGATACTTAATTTTTTTTTTTTTTCTTTGAAGGTGAATTGGGCAAATTGAAACCTCAGGGTTTACAGACTATTGCCATGACATCAAATGGTATTGCATTGAAAAGAAAGTTACCAAAATTGGTTGAAAATGGACTAAATTCGTTGAATGTCAGCATGGATACTTTGGATCCATATAAATTCGAACTAATCTCAAGACGCAAAGGTGTGTAAATGTCGCGTTGGTTATATTTTTAATATTTACTTTTATGGGTATCTAATTCACCTTTTATTCGCTCGAATTAGGTCTTGATCGAGTGTTGGAAACAATTGATCAGGGTATTGCGCTGGGAATTCGTCCTATGAAAGTCAATTGTGTAGTAATACGTGGTGTCAATGACCAAGAAGTGTTGGATTTTGTCGAATTGACACGCAATAAACCAATTGACATGAGATTCATTGAATATATGCCATTTGATGGTAGGTGGTTAAATATATAATTTTTTTTTTTTTTAATATGACATGATAAACTTAATAATATTATTTATTCAGGAAACAAATGGAACAAGAAAAAACTTATTCCATATAGGGAAATGTTAGATAATATTAAAATAAAGTATCCTGACGTTCGAAAGTTATCAAACGATTCACATGATACTTCAAAGGTATGTACGTTCACTTTTGCATTTAAATTGATCGATGATTACTATATGAAAATTTAATCATTCGATTCTTTTAGGCATTTAACGTACCAGGTTATGTCGGACGATTTGGATTCATAACTTCAATGACCGATCATTTTTGTGGAACTTGTAACAGACTTAGAATCACCGCTGATGGAAATTTGAAAGTTTGTTTATTCGGAAACGCCGAAGTCAGTTTACGTGATCTATTACGTGAAAATGTTCCTGATCAACAGCTGCTAGAGATTATAGGATCAGCTGTTAAAAATAAAAGGAAGCAACATGCAGGTATGTTTGAATTGGCTGAAACAAAAAATCGGCCAATGATTCTTATTGGCGGGTAAATCAATAAAGAAACCAGGTTAGTTATCCTTTACGTGCCTTAATATTAACGATAAACAGTTTGTTGACACATTTCTTTTTTTATAATTTCGTTTAAAGATTACAATTCCTCCTTACACAATAAGATCATATTCAACACCGCATCATCATTTCTTCATTCTAAATCATACTTTTCACGTTTTTCCCATAACTTTCTATCTTTATCTTCTATAAATTATCAAAATACATTATCTTATATCCATTCCTTTCGTTCATCATATTCTACTAAACCTATTTCGACAAATTCAAAATCATTTCCTTCCAATGATCACAAGTCCAATTCAAATTCACAATTTGATTCGCCTTCGCTCACTCATATTGATCCTGATAGTGGACGTGCTTCAATGGTTAACGTTTCCACAAAATCTTCAACTTATCGTACAGCAACAGCATTTGGAAAAGTTCATATTGGACGTCAAGCATTTGAACTTGTACGTACTAATACAATGAAAAAAGGTGATGTCTTAACAACAGCACAAATTGCTGGTATAATGGCTGCAAAACAAACAGGAAACCTCATACCGTTATGTCATCCACTCTTATTATCACATGTTAGTGTAGATTTAACATTGGATGAAAAGGATAATTATGCTGTAAAAATTCTTTCAAAAGTTGAATGTGAAGGAAAGACTGGTGTTGAAATGGAAGCTCTTACTGCTGTTAGTATAGCTGCACTAACAGTTTTTGACATGTGTAAGGCTGTAGGAAAGGAAATGATCATTTGTGATTTGAAGGTTGTGGAGAAAACTGGTGGAAAAAGTGGAACTTGGAGATTTCCAACAAAAGAAACAAATGAATAATCATAATAATAATAATAATAAATAGGCATGATAATTATGATAATAATCTATTTGTAATCAGGATAATAATAAAATATATTTCGCTTATTTTTTTTCATTAATAAAACATTAAGAATTCGCATAATGCCAATATAAAAAATATGCATTTTAATACCAAAATACAAATATATATATATATCTTATATAGTAAAATATAATTTAAGAAATTTAAGCGATCTGCATTTATGATCCAAAATCTTTTTTATCAGTATTATGCATCTCATCTAATTCTTTTGACTTTTGGAGTTGAAATTAACCTTCGATACTCTGGACTTTTCTACCACCGATGGAAGCTTTGGAAATTCAGAACAAAATTTTCGTTTTTTTCGGAATTCCTTCTACAAAGAAAGATTTATCAAAAAACAGTCCATCCTTACAAACAACTTGCATCGATTTGATATTGATTGCGATAAGGATAAAATCTTTGCATTTTTTTGGTCTCAACCTCATCAAGTTCGCCTAAGTTTTTATAATATTTGTTTAGGGTTTGATATGAAAGTCCTCAGGTAAACTATTAAATTGAAAATAAAAAGAGATAATTACCTCTTCCGATTCATATTCATCAGAATATTGGGGAAAATCACGCAGAGAAGGAGTGTGGTCTCTTTCATAATCATCATCTGACAATACAAAAAAAAGAGTTAAAATTGCTCATATTCAGAAAGCCAACATTCTGTCGACTCTCATAACTTTTAGCAAAAAAATATCAACCTTTCTCTGTGATGATCCAGTGGGGACGAAACCATTTGTAGTTTCGACTGTTCTACCATTTATAGTCCCAATACCATCATTAAATAGTGAAGATGGTGACTGCATAATGAAATCGGTTAGAAACACTGTCAGTTTTATGATTAAAAAAGATAATATATAAATTTCGAATACTACCTGATAAGGTTTCTGTTTTCTAGGGATCCACCTTAACTCATTAGATAGGTATGTTCTTGCATATTAACTGAGCTCTCTTTTACGATATTAACTATTTTCACAATATCAATCAGTTTCTTTCCGCGTATAAACAACTAGCATATAAACAACAATTCATTACCGATTTTTTCGACTTTGCTTTTGGTTTGCTTTAAAAATTATGATTATTGTAAATATTACGTTCCAAAGGATTACCGACAAGCGGGGTGACGGAAGGCAGGAAAAGAATTCTAATAACTCCCTGTTATTATCACGGGACGGTACCCGCGGGAGTTCCTTCAAGGTCACCTCTACACTCTAGCACGGATAGTCGCTAGCTAGAGTCCTGAGACGGAAGGCAAAGGAACAGAACCCACTCTCCTTTGTATTAACACGGGACGGTACCCGCAAGGAGCGCCTACGCCTCTTAGCAGGAGCAGAACACGCATTTTCTTTTGCTCGCTCGTTCAATTGTCGTGCAACTCGAATAAAATCTCCCCTCTAGAGGAAACTCTTATTTGGCCAATGGACTGCCGTCAAGTTCTTTGATTATTAAGGTTTTTGTTTTTTTAAAAAAATAATGTAAGACCAGCTCGCGGTATGATTTTATTGATATTAATAACAAGCAGTGTTAAGGTGTTAAGATAGACAAGAAAGGTTTAACTCATAAACCATGATACTGACGATTTTTATGGACTTGAAAAAATGAATGACAATAATCAAATCATAAAACGCGAAATAAACGCGTAATCACCAGTTGTTGTTTCTCTTTACTTCATAAACATTAATGGGAACCTCCGTATCAACAAAGCGATTTGGAATGTCTAGAAGCAAAACATGAAATATCACTTTGATGACCAACTCTCTGTCATCATAAAGATTTCCCTTCTTGATAAGTTCTTTTAATTTTGGCTCGCTTGAAATAATTATATTATCGGATGATGGTTTAAGGAATTCGCCAGGAAAAGCATGATGGAAGTTTGTTTTAATTGGTTTAATATTTGTGATCTACATAAAATGTTACACCAAATCAAACCAATAAAAATTCTAAATTCTTGTCACGTGTATATTAATATAGCGAAGCGCGTTCATGATAAAGAACACGTATACATAGCATGTATGATAATAAAGTTGAGCTGTTATGAATAAATTAATCTTTTAGGAAAACAATTTGTTTTATTTATAAGATAAAAAGGTTAAATAAAGAATAAAAAATTTTTTTTTTAAAAACCAATTTTAAAACTTTAATATTTTATAATTTTAATATAATGACTCGAAAAAATCTTGGCCCTTGTTCTATTCATAATTGTCAAATAAATTCAAATCAATATCGCGGAATTACAACTAATGCATTAAGAAAAGCAAAAGAAAAAGGCACCTTTGACCAATATAATTATTTAGAATTTGGAAAACAATTATGTTATCCGCATTATCTTAGTATTATTGAACCCGATCGCAATAAAAAATTACAAACTAATAGTATTCGAAATAATCCTAATATTCCTAATATACAAAATAATGTAATTATTAATAATAAGATTACATTAATGACTAAAGTATTGTATGAAAAACAAAGAAAAGAAAACACTACTCTCGAATTAGATCCAAATAATTTTCAAACAATGCTTGAAAATGCTGAACCATTATTAAAAGAATTTTTTAATGAATTATATAATTCATTTACTCCAGATAGAAGATCTGCTTATAATAAAAATGAAAACAAAAAAAAGG